ATCCAATAAAACAGCAGGTGCATATGGAAATTTTTCATTAAAAATAAAAAAAAATAAAAATCTCTGATCATTTTATCCTTTCTTAGAAAATAATGAACTGCATTGGATATATAGAAAATACTATTTGAAAGTTACATTTTCAGTATGGAAAAAAAATCATACTTAAATTACCTAACTACCACTTGACTCCCTTGCTAGCACTTTCATTATCTTATTATCAGCATAGAATTGAATAGATTCAGAGTTAGTAGGAAAAAAGAGATATTGCAGAAATTATCCTAACTGAGGGAGATACAAAGTTTTCATGCTGTGGGAAGAAAAAAATGTTTCCATAATCAGCAGAAATAGAAGAAGTGCTCCTTAAAGCACTGCAGAATAGATATTTTGCCAGGATGGTAGTTTATATTGTGACAGATAGTTAATGAATTTTATAATGTCCCAGCTTCTTAAATATACTGTATTTATTATAAGGAACATTAAAAAGTAAAACTATTTTTTTAAATTATCAGCAGCAAAATAAATTATAGTTCAATCTAGAAGCATGTGAAGACTTCGGATTTTCTATGAAGTCCATATGACTAGAGAAAAAAATAGAGGGAGTTTATTATTATTCTTTGGCAGATTATCCTGACTGATGAATCCATCTAAAAACATCCCATTAGAGATGGGTGATGATGGAATATTAAAATCTAATTTTGAAGTACAGTAATAGATGGGAATCTGCAAAAGAGTAGTACATATTTTGTAATATTACAGTCTTGCATGGATAGGTCCAAGCTATGAGTCAGTAAACAAGTCAACTACTAAAGAACACACACTTTTAAAGATTAACCTCCTTCTTTCTTTTATAGGGCTATGTCTATCTGGGATAACAATCTCCAGATTACCACAATATGCAGTGTGGTGGGAGCATGGCTTGGAGCATTTCCTATTCCACTTGACTGGGACCGTCCATGGCAGGTTGGTTGCTCTATTTTATATAAATTACATAAAACTGACCAGACCAGCTCCATCTAGTCCCACATTTAGTTTGCAATTACCTTACTCCCTTATAAAGACTTATCAGCAAAGTACTAAGGGTTTTTTTCTATTTTGCCTTCTAGCATTTTCTGTTGATAGACTGGTGGTCTTTAAGATTTAATTGTAATTCCATTGTAAAGACTGTTGAAAACAACATGGTAGAATATTTTTTCTAACAAGCTGGAAGTGGATGAAGCTACTTCCTCAGTGTGAGTTACATGGTTGCCAGAATACTTTCAGATGTACTCAGTGCAAACAAGGCCTTGCTGCTTGCTAATGTACAGTTAATGACATTTTTCAAGTTCAAGCAATAGCCAGTCAGCATCCAGCCCATTAATGTGATGGAGGCCATCCCCACTTATGCCATCTGAGAATGTGGCCTGTGGTGTGCTGCTACCTTCCATTAAAAGCACTTAACAAAATGCATTTGAAATGGCTATTGGCTTCAGATTGATCTTTGAAACAGCCTTAGCTGAGCCACCCTGTGCCGAAAACATGTTTTGTAGTTTTCCAACAAGCCCTTAAGCATTTTGTGGCTTGTAGGAAAAATGAGAAGCTGGCAGGATTGCAGGACAACTGTACATTCATCTGCCAACATTACTGTTGGGGAAGGGTGGAAAGACTAAAGTGATCTGCTAATAATGTAAAGTGGATTAAAATGTTCTCAAAGCAGATATACCCACAACCAGAGGATAAAGGTATTTGGCATTAAGCATTCTGAATCTTGCTAGATTGAACAAAATGTCTGATGTAAATAAATGTAGTCCAGTTGTAATTACTATTCTTGTACCATTTTTGTCTCAGATTAAATGCCAATGAACTTGCTATATAAATCAGAAATAATAATGGAAATTTGGGACATTGGTTTCTTCCTTTTTTAAAAAAGCATACATCTAATTATATTCCCACATATTTTTACACTAGATAGATCTATCATAAATAACATGTATCAAAATATAAAGCAAATTGAGGACAAGCCCCCTAAAACCAAGATATTAAAGGGGCACACCAGTGTCCCATTTCCAAACATGCTATGGCAGTGGGAAGGAGGGGAGAATCCCAAGAAACAGGATGAGGTAGAGTTCCCCTTAAGAAGCAAGGCTGCCCCCCCCCTCCATTTTCAGAGGAAGACTTTAAAAGCTGCTTTCATCATCTTTATGTACCTGGAAGCTGAGAGCTAATCTCCCACCAGCAAAATGCTTGACAGGAAGAGGACTTGGTTGAGCAAAGGGTCTTTGAACAGATTTACTGGGATATTACTTTTCATGTATTAGAGCTAAATTTGTGGATGAAATAGGTTTTAGTTCATTAAATCTACATAATAACTGATACCTTAAGATGGCTCTAGTTTCCTGGAAGTTTTAGAAAGCATCCTGTCAGCAATACTTTGTTTTACCATAATTTCTCCTTTCAGAAGCCATTAGAAATGACAAGGCACATAACAACAAATGTAATTATAGGCATGGTACAAATGGGCAGAGCTTTCAAATTCACTACCAGGCTTTATTTTATCACCCTCTTAATATGGGACATTGAATTAAAGTGTGTGTTTGTACATGTATTTAGATTAATGTTGCAAAAGCAGTTTATAAATGAGCCTGTAAATTGTATCAAACAGAAGGGTCACTGGGATTGTGCTGGAGAAACAGGTCTCAAGAAATAATCAGCTGGATCATTTATATTGTTTTAAGAACAAATGTTTTTTTTAAAAAAAATAGAGAACTGACTCATAGAAAAAGGAATAATTTTATGAATGAAAAAGTATAGCCTTGGATGTTGCAGTCTATTATGGTATATCATGTGAGTGGTGAGGTGAGACGGTGAGTGGCCCTCTGGACAGGCGGGGTGGGGGCGGGCCAGTTTATGGGCACTCGGTCTCTAAAAGGTTTGCCATCACTGACCTATACAAAGGAGTTCAGGTACTTGGTGCTTCTTCTTTGCATTGATTATAAAGGATTATAAAGGAAGGTATGCACTTTGAGAGCTTCTGAAGTCTTGAAAGCTGCAGCTCCTGGGTTATATAATAATAATATATTTATATCCAAGTAGCCCTTTTCTAGTTCTTTGGATTTGCCTTAAGCTGGTGCAAAATTAGTCTCGTTACATTTGTTCCCTGCACTTATTTTGAGATCATACCAATCCTCTAAAAACATTTCTGCAATATCCATGAGAGAAGTGGTGGACTCTGTATTTCTTTGTTGTTGTTGTTAATTGCAAAGTCGTGTCCGACCCATCACGACCCCATGGACAACGTTTCTCCAGGTCTTCCTGTCCTCTACCATCTTCTGGAGTCCATTCAAATTCACACCTACTACTTCAGTGACTCCATCCAGCCATCTTATTCTCTGTCGTCCCATTCTTCTATTGCCCTCAATCTTTCCCAGCATTAGGCCCTTCTCCAGCGAGTACTTCCTTCTCATTAGGTGGCCAAAGTATTTGAGTTTCAACTTCAGGATCTGGCCTTCTAAAGAGCAGTCGGGGTTGATCTCTTCTAGGACTGACCGGTTTGAACATCTTGCAGTCCAAGGGACTTGCAGGAGTCTTCTCCAGCACCATAGTTCAAAGGCCTCAATTCTTTGGCGCTCAGCCTTTCTTATGGTCCAACTTTCACAGCCATACATTGCAACTGGGAAAACCATGGCCTGGACTATACGCACTTTTGTTGGCAGGGTGATGTCTCTGCTTTTTAGTATGCTGTCTAGATTTGCCATAGCTTTCCTCCCCAGGAGCAAGCGTCTTTTAATTTCTTGGCTGCAGTCCCCATCTGAGGTGATCTTGGAGCCCAGAAAAATAAAATCTGTCACTACCTCCATTTCTTCCCCATCTATTTGCCAGGAATTGAGAGGGCCGGATGCCATGATTTTGGTTTTCTTAATGTTGAGTTTCAAGCCAACTTTTGCACTCTCCTTCTTCATTCGCATCAAGAGGCTCTTTAGTTCCTCTTCACTTTCTGCCATTAGAGTGGTATCATTTGCATATCTTAGGTTGTTGATATTTCTCCCGGCAATCTTAATTCCAACTTTTGTTTCATCTAGCCCTGCTTTTCTCATGATGTGCTCTGCATATAAGTTAAATAGGCAAGGCGACAATATACAGCCTTGCCGGACTCCTTTTCCAATTTTGAACCAATCAGTGGTTCCGTGTCCAGTTCTCACTGTTGCTTCTTGACCCGCATATAGGTTTCTCAAGAGACAAATAAAATGGTCTGGTATTCCCATCTCTTTAAGAACTTGCTGTATTTCTTACAATGCCTCTAACATGTTTAATAAAGAAAAAGTGTGGGGGAAGAGAAAAGTGTTGCACAGTGTGAGAAGCAGAAGAATGCTTTCAGAGAGATGGAGTTATTTTTGTATTCCTAGTTTAGAAAACATTTTTTGTAGCAGAGGCATTTGGCAGGATAGAGTTTTTTAAAAAAATAGAGTTGGAGTGACAACTTTTGGAGTTAATTCAAAATTAATTCCCATGCAGTTTGTCTGTACCGGTAGTGCTAACCTCTGTAAATCAGTACATGTTTAGGGTAGCCTTGAATCTAAGTGATGGAAAACGAGCCCAGGATGCTATGCACCCCTCTTCTTTCATGACTATGTTCTCTTTCCTGACCTAATTGGGGGGGGGGAAATACCCTGAGCCAAAATAGGCTCATTTACAATTTAACTAGGCTTTGGTCCCCAAAGAATCCTGGTTATGCAAGGAACAAGAAACAGTCCTTATCAGTATTAATCTCATTAACTCTGGTTGTATGAACCTATTTGCCTTGGCTCCTTTCTGAGTTGTGTCAGGACATCTGGTCTGTACCTTTATGATACACTTCTGAGAAGAAAGATATAATCAAGGTGATAGGTAGGAACAGCTTCTGAGTCCGAAAGCTCGGAAGACAAAGCCTCTGGTCCCGGTGACCGACCCAGATTGGACCTTGTAGGTTCAAGTATGTTGGACATAAAGGGAATGAATGATGCCAGTTTTGCATACAAAGACCAATACACCATTGCCTAGATTATTTTTATTATTGTTTAATGTCTGGTTAATTCCTGAAGAAACTGAATTTATTTTGAAAGAAAATGTCCATTAGAAATTAAGCCTTCACCAGACCAAATAATGCAGTTTGTTAGTACTGAATATACACTATTTAACATTCTGCAGAAAATATGCAGTGCCATATTACCAAACATGAATAAGCAAATCTTTGGTTTGAAAAGCAGGCATGACAAATTGAAATGGTGACCTTTCTCAGGCTGTAAATAAAAGGCCAAAGCAAGGTCAGTAAGAGTCCCTAAGGCACCTCATGAACGTATTATTATTATTTTGACTGCTCTTCTGAAGACCTTCAAATAATGCTATATATAAAACACTAAATGCACATTTAGTGATATGAAGATTAAGCGCGCAAAAGATCAAATCAAAACAGATTACAAAAAACAAAGGAGTTGGTTTGATGCATTACAGGTAATCCTTGACTTAACCACCATTTGTTTAGCAACTGTTCAAAGTTACGAGTGCTGAAAAAAGTGACTTACAACCAGTCCTCACACTTATGACCACTGCAGTGTACCAAAAATCGCATGATTGCGATTTGGGCATTTGTCAACCGGCATGTATTTACAATGGTTGCAGTGGTCTGGAGTCAAGTGATGACAATTTGTGACTTTCCCAGCTGGCTTCCAACAAGCGAAGTCAATAGGAAAGTCAGCAGTGAAAGTTGCAAATTGCGATCATGTGATAGCTTGCTTAACAATCGTGGCAAAAAAAAAAAAAAAATAGAAAAATTGGGTGCAGTCAGTATTCACTTAAGAACCATATCATTTAACGAGAAATTTCCTAGTCTCAAATGTGGACATAAATTGAGGACTACCTGCATAATATGATGGAAAATTTTAACAGATAGGAGAACGTATGGAGTAAGTTGACTCATTTTCCTGCCTGTTCTTTTCAAAACTGAAATAAGCTTTCATCAACCTGGAGGCCCCCCCCCCCAGGTAGAATAGAAGAATATCTCAAATGTCTGTCAATTGTGTTTCCAAAACAACAGTAAGGAAAGATATTTTAGAATTTGTTGGTATGCGTGCTTATTGCAACTGGAGACAGGAGCTAAATGCCACCCCCACACAGACTGTTTTGCATTATATTACCTGGAATATATTTCATTTGTAGTCCGGAAGATGAATAAAAAACAAGAGGAAAGACAAAAGATTGTAAATTGTGCAATTAAGGAAATATACGTAGTGTATACCTGTACCTTAGCATAGCACTGTAAAGATAGCCTGGACCTATAGCATTCTACAAAAGAGAAGAGATAAACTGTAACATAGTGTTTTTCTTAATTTAATTTCTTAAATTAAAATATGACCTCTGTTATGCTATCTGGGCCAACAGGTTTTGGTACTGAAGTCAATTCATTAATCAAATAATTTAGCCTTTAATTTTCCCTCAGTGTTTAAAAATCTTTATCAAAGTAAACCTTTGGTATCGAGAAAGTTTTCTCAAGCCATTTACTTGTTTTACTTTTACCTTTTACTTGAACAAAGAGTGGTTCAAGTAAGTTAAAGTTCATGGAACTGGATAGCAGTTCTCTGATTTGTCTAACTGGGCATTGCCTTACACATATATAAAATAAATTCTAGTAAATAGTTGTCTGTATGAACCCCCAAGCAAGTATATCAGTTTTCAAACCTGAATGTACAATTCTTTGGATGTATTTCATTGCAAGAGCCAAATTCCTAATCATAATAGCTGAGAACCATGAGAGTTGTTGTCCTAAGAGATTTAATTGTAGAGTATTACATGAAAATAGCTGAAAGAAATCTACAGGTCAGCCCACTGATGTACTAAGGCAGGGGTGTCAAACTGCCGGCCCGCGGGCTGGTTTCATTATACCGAAGCCGCGCCCACCCCATTGTTGGCAACGCAAAAAGAGTTGCGATATGTCGTAACACATCACATGACATGGCGAATTTGACACCCGTGTACTAAGGGGTCTACTGACATTGGGATGATTGTTGAAAATATCTGTTCCATACTTTTAATACCATAGAAATAGTATGGATTACTGCATATTGTCCATATTAAGAACACACAATGATAACTTTTAGATTGGAGCAGATAACTAAGATTGCTGCAATGTTATATCTGCAACTCTAAAAGTGAGTGCAAGACATTCCCAGTTCTTCAGGTCAGATTATTTACACTATGTGCATGCAGGAGCTGTGTCTTTGCACAAAGTTGGTTTTTGGCCACAAGTTCATCATTCCAAGAATCATTTTAGAGTAGCTAGCTTAGAGCAGAATGTGAATCATCCAAGAAAGGCTATTGTGACAGCAGTTTGCATTCATAGGTTAAGAGTCCCTTTGCTACGAGAGGCTCAGCAATCAGCAGAGTGGAAATAAATATAGGCTTGCTACGAAAGAAGTAGCCCTATTCAATGGCCCTTATGTAGTTGTTTGTGTGTGTGTATGTGTGTGTGTATATAGACAGAGGTGGCATGAACAAACCCTTCCTTCCCCATTCTCATTACCTTTTATATGGGAAGGACAGCTGTAGAGCAAGACTCTTCTGTGGGTTACAGAATCTTTGAACAATTGACTTCAATGTGGAGGAAGCAACAAGAGCATGAAGGAAGAGTTGAACTAGCTAGCCCGTTCCTCTTTTTTCTCACACATAGAGTTCAGACAAAAGAACTATGAGCCAATGCCTCTTAATGTGCTTTCATATCCCTTGTCTACTTTTCTGTTAATATTCCCATCTGCAATTAATTTTATCTTTTGTATCAAAATGGGGGTAAGTAGCCCGCTCGAGTCTAATGTTCTTAAAAATGCTCACTGAAATATCTTTATATTTATAGCTTGTAGATTTCAAATCTGAATAGGCCTTAATAAACTTTTAACTCATTTTAAAATTTAAATCATTTTCAATATGCTTTAATAATGAATTTGCAGCTGCAGGACACATTCATAATGGTAAAAATGGGGTCCTGCTGAACCTCAACCCATCCATTCCTTCTGTGCCAGCAACCCCTTCCTCTTGCCATGGTTGAGCAGCAAAAACGAAAGAGGAAAACTCCTCCATAGAGCTACATATAAAAATTCTCTTTTTAGAATTCCATCTATGTTAAGCAGCAAATATTTCCTGCCTTGCCCAATAACGATAGCTTGGACTGGATTTCACTTCAAGAGAAAAAAGTGATCAAAATAACACCATGCCTAATTAAGGAACTCAACTGATTGCATATCCATTGGAATTTAAAGCAGCATTCATTTGCAATGTATTCATTTTTATTACAATGACATTTTGTGAGTTAATCAGTGAAACCAATCAAAACTATTTTATTGGCTAAAAAGGTACCCTGCATAATTGACCAACTTTTTAATTTTAACTTTGTGTGTGTGATGTTTTAATTTTTTTGAAAATAACAAATATGCCTTTTCTCCGTAAAGCTATTTTGTTTTATTCAGATTCCATTTCAGTTGATCAATTAGCTGGCTTGTTTAAGTCCCTGACTGATAGGCTGAGTTCTTATATACAAGTGGAGTAGTGTCTTTATTTTGTTCTGAATGGATCTGGCTAGCTACTTCTGATTTCACCCATCACAAACAGATTTGGAGTATAGTTTTAAGGCTTAAATTCAGTTAGTGCTGCATAAATGGGGGGTTTTGCTGCCATGTTTCAGCTGTGTAATACTAACTCGGGAACTGCACATTTGGCAATGCTCCCAGAATTTTCATCCTTACATTTTTCAGATATTGACTAAACACATAGGAATATTGGGATATTAACTGCAGTTCCACTTTATCTAACTAACTTGGAATTCCAAGTGCCTGTATAATACACAAGCAGCAAAAATACTTCAGAATTAATGTCAATTAATTTCATTTAAGAACAGCACCGAGAGGTAGGAAGAGTTAAAAAAGAGAGATCAACTGTTTTACGATGGCTGGATCTAGTTCCAACCATGGGAGCATTCTCTGAACTAACTCCTGCTCATATTTCTCTTGCTGGTATAATGGGGCATTTCAGTATAGAACCCAGTTCCATTTCCCTAATATTGTGGACCATAAGCAGCTTTAGAAGACTATAGGAAAAGGGGTGAATTGGGAAAGACCAGCAGTTCTTCCATTCTTCTCCTGGATCAGAAGTCGCCAGTGATGGAGAATCTTCTATCCACAGAAGATAGATGCTTAGATCTAATTCAATATGCTTTCTAGCATGATAGCAGAACTTTACCTTGCAAATATTCATTGCTATTGCAGTGAAAGGTCATTGCATGAAGCAGTCATTATGATTTGTGCCCCTGCCCTTCCCTTTGATTTATGGTCTCCTTTAATGTTTCATTCAGTTGTGCTTCAATATCAAATCTGTTACCCAGCTATCCTAGGACTGAAAGAATACAGTTGAAAAAGGAGAGAGAAACGCTTAAAAAAATAGCAAATTAACTGGAAAATAAGAATACATCAACTGCTCTGACCACAGATGCACCACATATTTCTTACCTGATTTTGATCAAGCATCATATGGAATAGCCACCAGCTAGTTACACTTTAATGCACAGAAGTTTTAAAACTGTACAATTGTTCATAGTCCTAACAAATGTTTGATGGCTATTACCATTTTTTTTAACCATTTTCAGTAAAAGCATGTCAAGCCTTGCAAAGGATTCTGTGCCCCATTTTGATGTCTTTCAGTTATACCAAAAACTTGTGCTCATTGAAGATCATCCTTTTCTTCTTCTAATGCAGCATTTTCCTCTTTCAGGTGTGGCCCATTTCCTGTTCACTTGGAGCCACCTTTGGGTATGTGGCCGGTCTCTTTATTGCATCTTTATGGATATATTGGAATAGGAAGCAGCTTACATACAAAAGCAGATAACTGGCGCAAGGAGGAAAGGCATTTTGATTGTGAGATTCCATGAAGATTGCACAGGGGTATGGCCAAAGCAAAAGGCTTTCCATATCTTTTCAGAGCATTGTTGGGCTTTACTCTTCTTTTTTACAGCATGGTCAACATGCACTGGCAATTTGATCATACATTTGTTGTATGTCCTAAACTACATGACCCCTGAGAGATTGTACATTCCTTCCCATATGAATAAAATCTTCACAGTAGATGGTGCCTGCTTCTTTACATATTTGTGATTTTCTCCCTCCCCCTCTGGGTTTCATAAAATGCCAGTTCCTAAAATCCGCTTCCCTGTCAGTCAGTGGATTTCTCAATAAGCTGTTGCTGTCTTGAAGTGTACATTTGCACAGTGTCAGAAGTTTCACAGTACTCGTGGCCATTGTCCAGCAGCTCTCATGTAATCAAGCAGCAATTAATGCATCTTGAACCTATTCTCTTTTTCATTGTGTGTTTCTTTGGAGTTAGAATGGCTATAATGGCTTCATCAAAAACAGTCTTCAATCCTTTCTGTGTTAAAGCTGAGCATTCCACATAGCAATAGGCTCCTATCTGTCAAGAAAACAAATGCATTTAATAGCTACATAGACAGTGGGCATCTTCCCCAAACTCTATTAGTGAACTCAGGGGGCTTTCATTTTTATTGAAACATCAGTGTTTGTTTTTTGATTTGTCTTTGCCCTGAGAAAAACATTTCACTACTCTACCTTCCAGAAAAAGAAGTTTGTCTTTTGGTGACAGATTTAGAATTCTTTTCATTACTTTCAGGGTTTGAAAAAAAAAAACCACCATTAAATACACTGGAGTTTTCAGTTTGTTTTACTTTTGGCAGTATATTTGTATCTGAGTCATTTTAGGAAAGTTTAAAGAGCAAATGAAATGTACCAATATTTAATGCACACACAGAGATTACCATCAAACATAAAAATTTCTATAGCTAAATACATTATCACACCTGATATAAATATTATACTTTGGAGACTTAAAAATTCAGGTGATTATTTTAATTTTCTCAAACGTATTCTCACTGTGTTCCATTGCCTTGTATTGAAGTAAGTTATCTTTTAATTACTGAAAAGTACTAAATGAACTCTTACTTACAGTATAATATATAATTCTATATTTTATTCACAAACAAAACAGCTGCATTAACCAATAAGATTATGTACTGCTTAATTCTTACATAGCTGCCTTTAAATGTAGTATAAAAATCTGCATTCTTGCTGCTCCTTCTCACTGAAAGAGACAAAAAGTAGCACTGGTCCATTTGGAAAACAAAGGCTAATAGTTTATTCCCTGATATTGTGGGCACAGCTAGAATTTTGGGAGCACATCCTGCCCACGCCAAACAATATTGACAGCTGGCCATGCAGGAAGTCTGGAAAGAAGTCACATATGGAGAAAATGGTGGAGCAATACAGTATTAAATTTTAGGGATAATTTAATGTAAGAAAGGTGAAAGAAGAGCCCATGTGCAGAAAAATGTCAGTGTTTGTAATTTATGCAAAAGCAAATCCTCCACATTAGCTTCCTTATGGCCCTTATTGTCCACAGTTAATGTGATGTATAACATAACAAATCATCAGGAGGTCATTAGGTTAGAACTGTTGTTATATAATCTGGAAATAATTGAACTAAAGGGCAATTGTCCCCCTCCTATTTTTTTTTGACTCTTTTTTTTACATGAAAATGCTATACTAAGGTCTACTGATTTTATATTTTTATTTACTTATTAGAGTTATGTCCTCTATATCCTATATCCAAGGACTCAAAGGGATTTACATAGAAATACACTTTCTTGTTGCCATGAACAGCAGCTTCTAAAACACAGATAGTCCTTGCGTTATGACGACATTCCAGGCAGCCATTGCAACCTCAGGATGTTTGGATTTTTAAATGGGTGGGGGAGCGACTGTGCTACATAGTGGGTCAGGTGAGGAATGCTAGGTAGGGCGTGCACTATGTAGTGGGCAGGAGCTATGATGTGCAGATGTGCTACGGAGTACAAGTACTCTTGTATTCTTCAATGGGCTCCTCAGGAGAAAAAGCTGCAGGACTAACTTACAGGGGTGACATGCAACCTTCCCTAGTGGCTTCCACATTGACTTTGCTTGTGGGAAGATGACAGGAGGTTGCAAATTGCAATCATGTGACGTGGCACACTGTGACACTGTAACTGTAGCTGGGCACCTGAGCCTCTGGATTACACTCACAGGACCACAGGAACTGTTGGAACTTCGCGGACTGGTCATAAGCCCATTTCTTCAGCACCGCCGTAACTCTGAGCAGTTGCTGAATGAATAGACTTAAATCAATGATTACCTGTAGGTTGGACTGATCCTTTTGTATGGCTGCTGCAAGTCTTTTCATACAGAAAGGTAAAATAAAGGTAGGGGAAATGCAGTACACATAATACCAAGCAAGATTTGAATTCTAAATCTCCAGCTTACCTCTTTTGCTAATTTAACACCTTGCTCCATAGATATTGGTTTTTCTTTCATGTCATTTAGCCTTGCTAATGTTTTAGGATCGTCACGAAGATCAATCTGTTAGGAAAGTTACAGAAGATATGTAGTCCTTCTACATGTTACGAATCAAACCTTACATCACAGACTTTATAAAAAAAAGAAAATAGAAGTGGCTCCAATACAAGGTAACTATGCTGATATCTCACTGAACACTTTAGGATTTAAATTAGGCATGATTAATATTGAACTTGGTGAGATTTAACCACAGCTAACTCAGGCTAATTCAATCTATAACCTCTGCTTTAATTGGAATCTTAAGCCTATTTCTGTAATGTACATTGTGGTTCAAATGAACTGTGTGCAAATTAAAAGGCCCTATGACATTTCCAGAGAAAACCCTCAAAAGGCATTTTCCCAAAATTTTAGCTCTGCATAGAAGAAGCGAAGAGCACACAAGAAGTCAATAATTTAAATATGAGAGGCGAGGATTGTTTTATCTTTCTACTTATTTTCTTTCTTCTGCTTATTCTGAGACTAGAAATCAATTAAGAAAAAGTTTGGAGGAAATTAGCAGAAGAAAATTGGTAGCTGGAAGGAAGAAAGGCTAAATGTTCCCCAACCCATTTGCAGCTACATATTTGTTCATTGATTTATTTCATTTAGGCACCACCAACTGCAGAAAACATAACAGATGTACAAATTACATTTTTTAAAAAAAGTAAACAAGATGGCAAATCCAGCCAAAGGCCCCAAACATATATCATGTACCCAGCAAGAGGCTTCATCCATCTAAGCCAGAACCTGAGAAAAAAGTCAGGTTTTTCAAGGTCTGTAGAACATTATCTGAGTGGGAGCTTGAAAGTGTCTCTGCATGACTACTTGTAAACTGATAATTGTGAAACAGTTATTTCATAGACACAACTACTCTTTGCAGCTTCAGAATAAATTCTGGACCTTTGTGGTTTCATGGATTCAGGTGTTGAGAATCAAACAAATTTATTTCAGGCTCAACTGCCATACTTGAAGCCATAATAAAACTTGCCTTTTAGAATTGCTGCAGCTCTACGGAGCTAGCTTGTTTCTATATTTGTGAGCTCCCTATTGCTGATTCAAGCAGGTCTTTCAAGGTAAGAGTGAGCTGATGGATTTGCAGCCAACTCATTCATAGAAATCATTTAGATATATTGCATAGAGACAAATTGATAGGTGGGGGTGGGGAATACAAGCCATTTTTAAATTTCCTTAGTGCAGAAAATGAATTCAGGGATTTCCAGCTTTCTAGCATCAGTGGCAGGGCACATACCCCCACATTTCTATTTGGAAAACCAGTGGTGGGCACTGAGCCCACAGACTGCCACAGTCACAGTAAAAATGGGTGAACCAGTTATTCTCACCCAGAGGGTACATAGAGATGTGTATCTATATATTTATCAGTAAAGGAGACTCGGTGGTGACCACAAGACTCTTCTTTCCATCCAGCTATAGCATGTGATACCCACGCTTGTCTGAATCAGCTGTTTGGGTCCTATAACTGCTGCTTTATTGTTTATGAGCAAAGATCCTTTTTGTACATAAGCATATCAAACACAGAGCTTTGCTCTCAATTTAAATGCTGAAAGAAGTTTTAAAAATCCATAAAGAGGACAAAAGGGGGGGGGGCATTGTCAAAGGACTTCGTTCCCTAACAAGAGCAACAAAAATAGATTAAGATGCAGTTTTGTTTTCTCTCTTCATTGGGACAGTTTCTCTATTCCATAGTTAGTCTTTCAAGGCCTGTTTACAACTAATGGTGTTAATCACAGAATGACTAGAGGGCTCCAGTTGTCCCTTCTGGCTCTAAAATTAGATTGCTTTGGATGCATTTCTTGTTATTTTAGTTGCAAACTAGAAATGTAAGCCTACATGCTTGGAAAGAGCAAGGGCTGAGGAAACTATTGCTTGATCTAGAAAGAGGGAGAAGCTACATTTATCTGACAAAGAGGAAATTATAGGTATTTAGACTTCATTTGAATTATAACTGGTTAAGGCAAAGATTTTATGGGAAAGGATGAATTTGAAAAGAATTTTCAGGGAAAAATAAAAAAATGGCACTATTCTGAGAAGGGCATCATGACACAGAAACAATTAGAATGGGCACAGCCCTTGAAGAACTTAGGGATCTGTTTAATAGCTGATAGTAATAGAGTTAGAGAAGTAAAGATCACAGGAAGGAACTTCAGTAATCTTTAAAGGTTCTGATAACATTTCAAAGGCAAAAACGAGCAGTGCATGTGCTTTTTGTAAAAGAAGAAAATATCTTGCTATTTTGGATGGATGGATGGACAGGTAGGTAGGTAGGTATAGCTAGAGATAGACAGACAGATAGTTTGAGCCACATACCTGGGTTCCAACCAATAAATAAGGTACGTTTGGTGCATATTCTTTAAGTTCTGGTACCCATTCCTCCTTCACATTCTGAAAAGAAGCCGGATTTACCACAGAGAAACAGATGAGGAAAACATCAGTCATGGGGTATGACAGCGGTCTGAGGCGATCATAGTCTTCCTGAAGACAGACAGACACACACACATATATATTACTTTTCACTAAAAATGTGAATTTTGATCACAGTCATTTCTAATGGATACAGATGCTGGTGTTTCTAAGCAATCACTACCTCAGTATTTCATGCTAAATAAACTGAAAATTAAAAGCTTTTTCCAATGAATTGCAGATTATCCTTTCCTCCTACTTTTGGTCCATTTGGGTGGTAGTACTACTATAAAAATCAGACAGTTACCTTCCCAGTCAGCTTCTACAATATATGGAATAATGGATATATTTTCAAGACATTAAGCCAAGCTGTGGATACTGCTTGATTTTAATATTTTTGTGGAGTGTCTAAAAAAACAAACACCAATATCATTTAAAAACATTTTTTCTGAATCGGATCAAACATTTAGGAATACGTTATCCATAAAGGCCAATCAGATGCCAATAGAAAGTCCACCTGCAGGGCTCAATTTGATATCCAGGACTTGCTGCCTCTGATCCTGGAAATAGCCTAAAACAGCTGTCAAAACCATTAGCTGTACTTTAACTAAGTCTTCTTTGAAGTAGTTCACGTTAGCAGCCACAACATCTTGTGATAATTGTTTGAATTTCTGATATCATATATCTGTCATATCATATATCTGTCTTGACTGTTTCATTATGCAGCTTCCTTGCAAGGGATTGGATATTCTTATTATATGGCATAAAAACTAATCCCTGTTCACTTTTTCAGCTCCATTCATAATCTTATACATCTCAAATACTGTAGCCTTTACTCATTGGCTTCACTTCTTTCACGTGTTGCTTCTATTACAACAGAAGTAATACAAATATGTTGAAAGATTTATTACTACTTCCTTCCATAAGGATGGAATTTCCTTTTTTCACAGCAGCTGGATGTTAACCTCTCTACTGTGCTGTCCTTGGTGCTGTCTGAGCTTGGTTTCATTACCCAACTAGGTAATATCATCAGTGTGATATTAGTTGGTAATGAAATGGCTTTAATCAAACAGCCAAGCTCAGAAGCACCAAGAAGAGCACAGTTCAATCCTGCATACATTCTCTTCTATTGGAACATCTCAATGATAACTGCAGGTTCTCTTCCCTGTTTGGGAAGCAACTATAGTTCTGACTCTAGTAGCATATATATCAAGTTAAGATTTTTTTGTCTTAATATGTATCACTTGCTCACACTGATATTTGACATTTTAAAGCCCAATATGCAGAGATCCTTTCATTCAGTGTCCCTTTTTTGTTAATTACTCAAAATAATATGAGGTTATCCATTATTTGTACAGCCTGCCTGTTCAGTCCTAATTCTAGATTATTCTTCATTGCATCAAAACTGGTGTCCTGCTAACAGATTCTTGGGGAATCTCACTGTTTACAAACCTATATTTAAGAATACCTACTTTTTTGAGTATTTCTCAAATGAAGTAGTAGTATGAAATGGATAGCACACTGACATAATTATGTATTTTACCTTACTGATTAATAAGGCAGAAAGAAAGTCCCTGCTTCCAGTCTTTGAAACGTACTTCTAAAGCTAAGATTGCCAATGCATCATAATGAATCTCAGTTTTGGATGTCCTAGCCTAAAAGAAATAAAATTAGTAAGAGTAATGAGACCTGTGATTATGTATAGCAAGAATGGAATATGTTTTAAAGAAAAACTTTATGTGGTTTTTCATGTTAGTTTTGTTTTAAAAAAAAGTCACAGAGAATAAAAATATGTAAAATCTGTAGATGATAAGAATATATTCTTCATTTCTCTTAAAATACAGTTCTTTCAAGATTATCCAATGAAACAGTTAACTAAAACAGATTTCAAACAAAGCAAAAATTCATACAATGCAATCAGCCTATAAACTTTACTGTTAATGGGTGTGCTGAAAGCTAGTAGCATTTTAAACATTCATTATATCATTTCATGGAGACTACTAGCCACGAACATCAAAAAACACAACTTTCACGTACAAAAGACAGTTAACCTCTGATTGTGAAAAGCAAGCCACCTGGAACATTGTAATCTTTATGGTCCTAAGACTTTCTGTATTTGCGTCGTCATATCCAGTAAACACAATCTTTTCTGGATGGAAACCACAGCAAAATCTAAAAGTAACTCTATAATTGCAAATTAAATCTGTTTTCAGAGTGTACTGTCTTCACACTGTTGTTAGATTGAAGATAAAATCATGTTTAAGGAACTAAAGTCTTGTAAGAAGGACCTCATTTCTCAAAGCTGCCTTCTGTTATTGTTATGACCCAGATAGGCAAGACTAGGCCGGCCTCCAGAGAGTTCTTTATTGCTCTTGGTAAGGGTTAACAAATGACCTTCCACTGATCTGGCAGGCTCTACCCCCAGCCCCTCCCCCCAATAACAGCCCTTAATTACTGGGCAAGTCCACAAGGCAAAAGTCCAGACAGAAAGCCAAGGCAGTTTTCAGAGCCACGCAAAGGTCCAAGGCAAGGAGCACTTCTCAAAACAAGACAGGGTCCAAGGCAAGGCAGGTCTGAAGAGAGAATCTTCAGGGCTAGGGCAAGCCAAAAACAGTCCTCACAGCAAGGCAAAAACAGTCTTTGACTCACAGAGCAAACACAGATTCTTGAAGCAATGCAAAAAGGAGTCTTTGATGTAAACAAAAACAGTTCTTAAAGCAAGGCGAAAGCAGGGGGACTGTGATCTGAAAACAAACACTTGTTCCTGGCAAGTGTTCCTCACGGCGTCTCCTTAAATATTACTCTCCAGGTGAACCTCGTGAGGAGGGGCGGGTTGTCCTGCCCTGACTCTGCCTTCTTTCCATTCTTCGCACTCGGGGACCGGGCGGGGAAGGCATTTGCTCTTCTCTACCGCTCTGGAGCTCTTCTGCTCTTCCTTGACCAGCCTGAGCCCTTTCTTCTTCCCTGCCTACTCTTTCTGGGCCTGATGGGCCCAGGACTGCCTTGTCCTAATTCTCAGGTTGTTCCTCCAGAACCATAGAGACTGCACCATCCCCCTGCGCCAGCCCCTCCTCCTCCTCGGGTTCCGATGGGGCCCTGACAGTTATGTATTGGAATTCAATTCCAATAATACACAGAGGATGAGAAGTTATTCAAGTTTCTAGTTGAAGAATATGTTCAAGTCCAATTGTGAGAAAACCTAGATGTTGTCTCACCAATCCTGACCAGTGATTAAATATACTGATCAAAGTAAAATATCTAGACTTCTGATTCCAGAACACGGTGACACTGGTCATGCCTGGAGACTCGTCTCCATGCCGTCCGGACTTTCTTTCACCGGTAGACCCCCTAGGGTGTCGAAAGTCGCCCTGGAGGGGCGACCATCGAGGAGGAGGCTTGCTGGTAGATAGGGGAGGGCGGCAGCTTCCCCCGTGTCTCCAGCTATCTCCTTAGGGTCGATGGAGTAAAGATCGGCCTGCAAGATGGCCAACCACCCTGCTGCACCAGCCAAAAGTCACATTGACATCTAAGCATAACAGATCCACCGCGGATGATCCCGGTGAGACCCCTTTTGTTCCTCTCTTCACCCCATGTTGTTTTTGCCTGTAAAAGCTTCGTTGGAATTACTTCCCCATCTGAAAAAAGTGGCTTTTGTATGTGTGGGAACAAAGGCATTTTATAAAAGGACAGATTAAAACTTTTTTAAAGACTATATATCTCTATTCATGTTGAGGTACAGAAAAAATTGTTGGTTTTTTGGAACGGTATTTTATTGGTAGAGTATTTCTTTTTCCATTCTTCCTTTAAAAAATAGAAAAAAGGAAAAAATGGCGTTTGAAGAAGTCTTTTTAGTTTACTGAGGACATCTACTGGTCAAAAGTTAATATTGGAATTGTTGACTATTTGGAGATGAGATGATTTGGCCTTCAAACTATTTATCAAGAGAAAAGATAATTTGAGCCAGTTGTGTGATCTGTGGGGGTGGATAATGTTCAAAACAGATTATACAAGAAGAGGACTTAATTGAGAATAAAGAGAATTTTACTTTGCCCTATAAGCAAGACCAGGAAAAGCAAATACTGAGTTTTGAACTTCTCAAGCAATGAGGCTTTATGGACAAGAGATACAGAGGGCCAATGCAGAGACCAAGATGGTTTCCATCGAATCAAATGACACTACAAGCAACAAAAAGAGATTCATCATCTGGAAGGGAAACTTTGCTATGGAAACCTGCCTGGCATAAGAGGAAACCTAGAATAAGATTGAAAAATGAAATTTAAAATTTCATATATTGGATTAAAGGCAACCTAGAACCATGGACTGATGTAAGGATTAAGATTATGAGTATGAAGTAAAGAGATGTTTTATATCTGGGTTAAATTAATAATTAATTGAATGTTAATTAAATAAGATGACTTGTTTGTTTTATAACATGGATGCTTAGCTATGACAACTAACTGGATGAAATTTGAATCCTGCTCAATGGATTGATATGATTTAAGGTCTGATACTATTTTGTCAGCTTAAAGAGATTGTTTGACTGATGGATTAGACATGCATAGAATAGATAGATATATACATTTAGATATGTCTAGGATAGATCAAATACTTTGGCCATCTAATGAGAAGGAAGGACTCACTGGAAAAGAGCCTAATGCTGGGAAAGATTGAGGGCAATAGAAGAGGGGGACGACAGAGAATGAGATGGCTGGATGGAGTCACTGAAGCAGTAGGTGTGAACTTAAATGGACTCCAGAAGATGGTAGAGGACAGGAAGACCTGGAGGAACGCTGTCCATGGGGTCGCGATGGGTCGGACACGACTTTGCAATTAACAACAACAACAACAGGATAGATCAATATTTCTGTTTAAAAATGAGATATTTTTATATAATGGATTAAAAGTAATCTAGAATATTAAGAATTTTTTTAAAATGTTATGTTCATTTGTATGAAAATTATTATGTAATGGAATGAAGAAAATTGAAGAGATGTTTTAGATTTGATTTGAATTATTAATTAATTGAAATTTAATAAGATGATGTGATTCTTTGATGATATGGATGTTATCAG